TCTCTCGATCCTGATTCCCAGCAGACATAACAATAATTCTCTTCAAGTATATTATCAATTACTAACGGCCATAGATCATTTTATTTTATGAAATAAAAATCCAGACACGCACATTTGCCTACAAGCAAAAAATTTCAAATATTTACGAATCACTTGCCTAAATCACTTGCCCAAATACCGCCACCCACTTCCGGTTTATGAGAGTCTCACATACTGGTATATAATTTCCAAAGAAAAAAAGAAAGAAATCACACTCAAAAAAAAAAATATAAAATTACAGCGAGCACTACTCAAGCTACGGCGCATGCCCTGTTTACATGTCAACAGCAAAAAAAAAAAAAAACACGAAAGGAAACAGCTGCTTTAGATACTTGTGAGAGCACACTTCAGTCACTTGACGGCACTCAAAACGAACGGAAGTCGGTTGTACGAGCATTTATGTGAGCAACTAACGGACAAGCGCGTGCTTATACCATGTGCATGTGTGTATGTGAATCTCGATTGTTTTAATTGTAAATAAAAATAAGTATATGAAAAAGGGGGCGAAGAAAATTATTATTATTTGCGCGTAGTGAATATATGTTTTTTTGCATATTAAAAGTGTAATAAAAAGTTAAATAAAAGTGAAATGATTGTGAAATAAACAGCATGAGTTTGCATATATATTGAAATGATAATTAAGAATGGATGTCAATTTTCCGAAATAAGGTGCACATGGCCATTAAAAAAGAGAAATTAGTTGATATTTTTTATTTATTTATTTATTTTTTTATTTTTTAATTTCTTGTGATTTTTCCTCATAGCTATGCAATGCAAGTACATACAAACGTGCCTGCATACCCCGTTAAGAGGCGAAGTTAAGAATTTATAATCATTAAAAATTCATAGAAAAAGTTGTAATGTTGATCAGTTTTCCAACTGGTTTTACCTCCCCAGGCAGGTGGTCGTAAGAAACGTAAACGAAATGTCAATAACCGCAGCAAATTTATACCTATATATATGCAAAATTTAAGCTCGTTTTTAAGGATCCAATAATATCCTAATGTTACCCAGCGACTGACTGAAAAGTTTTTCAGATTCTTTCCATGGTTCCTGGTAAAGTTTATCAAAAAAAAAAAAAAAATCAGCAAATGAAACAGGGACCGATCTATTCGAAAATCTTGTCTGCACTCCGAGAAATTTTCGTTGAATTAGGAGGCGCAGTCATTGCTAGGTATTTCAATAGACCCCTCAGGTTGAAGTTCTCTCTGCACACGTGAAGTAGCTGGTGACCGCACTGTAAATTATTCAAGAAACGAATTAGGACTTTCCATTAGAAGGTACAATCTATCTGTTTTTAAGTCTATTACTCAAAAGCATCGAGATAGTTCCTTTGTACTGAAGTAAAATACCTCGTCATAATCTCAGTTCAGCGGAAGGCGCTGCCTTCAACTCCCACAGTGGACCACGCCTCTTATTGTTCTCTGTTTCTACAATACTTTCTCAACAAAAATCCTGAAGTGGAAATAATGGGAAGGCAACGTAAGCATACTCGTTTCCTCGAATGGTCCCGTGAAGAGCTAAATCTTTACTTTTTTAAATAGGACCTTCATAAGCATAACAACCGGCGTAATAACCAGATACTACTTTTATGCTATTAGAAGAAATTAGTGAAACAACACCTCTGCCACTGGTCAGCTCTCAGGACGACCGGTTATTGTTTTCTCAAAAATTTCTTCTTCAATTCCTTATAGAGCATGCATTGGGAAGCATTATTATTCTTCTGAACTTCGTAAGTCAGCAACCATGCTTAGGAGCAGACCAGACTAGCATAAATCATGAAGATCATCTAACAGATGATCCAGTAAACGAGCTGCTACGACAGGTTCCGATCAGTGGGATAGGCGATTAGATGGGTACTTGTTAAATGGCATCTAAAAAGTTGGTTAATTTCGAGCGGGGTTTCAGTGAAGGCCGGTCAAATGTTGCACTGCACGAGTTGTCGCGTAGACCCGAATAATACTGGCACAATTAGGACTTGAATATCGTGGTTGACTACTTCTCTAGAACTTAAACGTGCCAATACTATTAGGCTGTTTTTTTAGGTCTTTTTCTGCAAAGGGTGGTGATTTAATTTGATTTAATTCCGAGATCGCCGTTCCCTAGAAAATAACATCAGTATATGCTGACAGTTTCGTTCTATTCAGAGGTTCTTGTTTATAATTCTGAAATGAGTCTTTGTAGTCGAATACAGCCTTCCTGATATGCATAGGTGGGGCTTTAGCTTCAAATAAATGTCAGTTGGCGTACTCTCGACGATAGCACCCCAGAAGATATTGTTTGCACAGCAAGGCATTATGTTCCTTAATGCGTGGCATAAATTTTTTGCTTTGCACGATATCAGAAGTTTCCTTGTCATGGTCCTAAGGGCGATATTCTTTATTTGCTTCTCGCTAGTGTGTGAGCCACGTTTTTTTGTCTGTTTCCTAGGAACTGCCAGCTACGAACCTGTTAAATAAGACTCTCATTATGTACATTCACATCCGCTCAAGATGATACTCCTTAGTCCAGCTGATGCTGGGGATAGTCCTTGTGTAGTGAAAAATTGGAAAAGCTCAGCGAGGTATAATTTGACTTTCGAGCAAACAAACCTTATCAATGCCTCGGCCAAACACCATTATCGAGCAATCATCGGCATATGAGATCAATGAAATGCACTTTGGTAGAGGAAGGTTTTTAATATGTAGAAATAAAATAGAACCGAGAAGAAGAACGCACTCATCAGAACCACTTTTTGAATCTTACAGACTTTGAAAGTTTGCTCCCGGAACTCTACCGATGACTGTCGACCATAATCCACGGCTATTCAATCATAATACTTATATATATATATATATATATATTTCTTTTAAATTGTGCAACTTAAAATCAATTGAAATATGTTGGATTTAGTTTGGTTTTCGAGCTAATTTTTAGTACCGAATAACTTGGAGAGGTTCTTCTCGATGTTGACGGAGATTGGTTATATTTGTTTTATTTAGAAATTTAATTCATTGATTTGTTTTTATCAAGTAGAAAGCATACTAAATAAATACTTAAATATTTATAATATTTTTGATTTTATATTATATGAATATTCAGATTTGGTATAACAGTGCGTATACGTAACTCAATAAATTTTCTACGCAAATTGAAGTGAAAATTTGTGTGCCCATATCGTCATGACTCGTTTGGAATCTATTCAAAAATATTTCTTTTGCATTCTCAATGCATAAAACTCGGCTTAAATTATTTATTGTTTTTTCACTCATAAAAAACATATAATACAAAAAAAAACCCTTATTATTGCCATTGAGTAAACAAACTCAATACAGGCGAATGCGTTATACGTGTGTCGCAAGACTTAAGTAAATGGTTGATACTAAGAAAGGATTTACGTTCACGTTATTCAATGACAATCCAAAGAAAAATGATTTGAAAGAAAAATAATCGAAAAGAAGCATTATCAGTGATATGATAAAATAAGTTTAGGTGGCTGGCATTTGTATTGAATTGATTTATGAGGATTGCGAACGGTTTGAGTTTGATGTTTGTTTTTTGTTCTGGTATTTACCTTTTCATCCAATAAATCCACTTTTGAAGTATGTGAACACTTTTTATGCTGCCTTGAAGCTGGGTAAACGCATTAGATTACTTTATTGGATTTGGATATATACCCATTGTATAATATGGATTAAAAAAAATCAACCCGTATATATGGTACTTCGCAAACACAATAAGCTAACCTGAAGCACAAAAAACTATGTATTTTAATGTGGACCCCTGAAAAAAATATTTACTAAAATAGAAAACGTTTTTCGAATTTATAGTATTTCGTTTTAGAATTGTATGTCCATTAACATATATATATATATATATATTTTCTAACGGGCTTTTGACCAAGAGCCTCAAATTTGAACAAATCAAATCAATGGGGATGTTTTTTGTACAGAATTTCCAGTTAATCGAACCATAAGTAAGATTTTTCCAATAGACCAGCCCCTGGTCTACTTCCCGGCTTCCTCTGCCTTATACTTACTTCATTTTCCTACGTCAATATGGTAGAGTAAAATAAAATATAATTGAATAAAATAAAATAAAATAAAAAATATATATATTAAATTAATTGAAACTGAAATAAACAAAAGATATAAAATAAAAAATAATAAATAAACTAAATAAACTAAAATTAAATTAACTTAAATTTAACAAAATAAAATTAACTTGAAATAATGATTAAATAAATAAAATCAAGTAACTAATAAAATTAATGAAATTGAATTAAAATAAATAATATAAAATAAAATCAAAAGAAACAAAATAATATAAAATAAAATAAGGTAGATTAAAATTATAAGATAAACTATAATAAAATATAATAAAAAAAATTAACTAAAACAAAATAACATAAAGTAAAGTAAAATAAAATAAAATGAAATAAATTTAAATTAAGTTAAATTAAATTAAACAAAATAAAATAAAATAAGATTAAATTAAATTGAATTAAATTAAATTAATTTCAATTTAAATAAATTAATTAAATAAAATTGAGCAAGAAATTAAATTGCGTTAAAATAAATAATACAAAATAAAATAAAATTACATTAAATAAAATTAAATTAAGTTAAATTAAATTAAATAAAATAAAATAAAATAAAATTAAATTAAATTAAATTAAATTAAATTAAATTAAATTAAATTAAATTAAATTAAATTAAATAAAATAAAATAAAATAAAATAAAATAAAATAAAATAAAATAAAATAAAATAAAATAAAATAAAATAAAATAAAATAAAATAAAATAAAATTCAATAAATTAAAATAGAAGAGAAGTGAAAAGTGATATTTATAAAATTAAATTTAATTAAATTAAATGAAGTTAAACTAAATTAATGACTCAGTAATTAATTTATTAATTCAGTATTATTAGCATAATCACATAATTATGCCATTTAATTATGCAGTATTACTTCTTTTTCAGGTTAATAAAGTTATTACATAAATACACTACATACATATGTTTCATACATAGCCATGTTTTATCCGGCCTAAATCATACATCCCCAAGCCACAAATAAGGTGAGTAATAAATAATTATGTAATATACACATTCCGCGTTTTAACTGAATATTAAATTAATATATATTATATGCGTATGTACCCATATTATATATATTATATACGTATGTACCCGTAAGTAAGCATTTAATGTATATTAATAAAAAATTCAAGCCGTGTATTATAATATTATATAATAAGTAATGTGAAATTAAAAATGCACTTAAATGAGATTTAATTAAGATTTTCCGCATGGTTGATTGAATTAATGATAATTAATTGGAAAGGTCCTTATGTGAAAATTTATTAAATTTGAATAAAATAAAATCAATTTGTATTATTTGAAGTATTTTTATTTAATTGGAGCTTTTGCAATTGAATTAGTGTCAGTGAAATACTTCCGAAATACTAAAATCTCAAAATATTTCCGAAAATAATCATCATCCCCACAACTTGCTGAATATATGATGGAAGTGAAAGGGGATTCCCCATTATGAGCTACAACAGTAGCCAACAGTTAGCCATGTAAATTGGCAAATTGTTTTAGGCAACGTCCAGAACTGATCTGAATTGGAAAGGTGTTGTGTTTCATCATGACAACGCCAGAGTACAGAAATCTTTGCTAGGCAGATGGGGTGATCTTAGCTCACAAGTTTTGATGCAGCTACCGTGAAGCACAGACCTTTCATTATCTCACCTTCGATCTATGCAAAACTCTTTCTATGATGAAACATTAGCCATCGAGGAGCCGCAAAAATCATAAGTTCTTTCTACACTTATGGAATTATGAAACTCTCCGGAAAATAGTAAAGAGACTTGAATAGTAATTGTTAGTATGTACTTAATTTAAATAAGTTTTCATTTAGGAGAAATTTTATTCACAAACCGAGAAAAAACCCGCGAAGACTGTCAGCTTCTGCTTTCTTCAAAGTGCTCCCATTTCCCAGCCTGCTCATGAATACAATAGTTGAAAAGCAATTTGTTCATAACACAGAGCAGGGTAATGCATTCGCAATTAATCTGCTTGGCAAAGCTTTGCTAGTTTGTGGAACCTAAGTTGAAATTAATGTCCCCATGACGAACAAACCACTTGAGAGTTTCTGTTTCGCTATCTCTTACGAAGATCTACAGCTGCTCGGGGTTAATTTAGATTTCATGGCATGCGAGCCAAGTGATTTCAAATCAACTATGTTGTACTTACGAAGCAGCTATCTCCGCCCGAAGATGTGGTAACTCAAAGGAGAGACACCTAGTACGGTCTCGTAAGAATAATACCAGCAAGAACAAAATGGTAGTAGTTATTAGTTCCTTAGCGTAGGTTCGGTATTAGTGTAATAAAAGTTTTTCGGATTAACGCCATTGTATATAGCATTGAGCTTAAACTGATTCGTATATCCAATGAAAAAATTTAGGTCTTACATGCATCTTCTGCGATTAAAATAGCCCATATGCATATATAGAGACTGAAAAATATTATTTTAAATAGCTCAGTTAAGTGATCTCTCAAGTTCAATCGTTTATTCATCATTAGAAATTTGCTTTCAGCATGAAGACTATTTTTCGTCTCCTAAAAAATAAACCTTTTTATTGGAGTCACAGCAAGAAGACCAATTTTAATCTCATTAAAGAGTTCCCTGCATGACGTCACTTAAAAAGAGAAGCGAATAAGAGAATTAATATTAAATTCTAAATTGAAATACCATAAGCTTGATGGGGTTAAGAAAAATACTAAGGCTTTGGCATGGCCGAGGACCTCCCTATTCGAAAATCGTTTCAGCGTATACAAAGCGTCAAGTATTTATATCTATTTGCGGTTTCGAATATAAACATAAATAAAAGACATTCATTCAAAAAACATAATTTTTTTATATATGAAAAGTGACAACATTCAAATAAACGCCCAGCAAATTTTCGTAAACTTCGATTCATTTGAGGTATTTTTCGACCAATCATTTTTACATGTTGGACGATATCTCAGCCAAAAAGTGACGATTGTTGGGTTTCAAGCGTTCAAGAGTTAAAGGTTTATTCGTTAAAGGTATAATTCGCCTTCACGTAGTCCCGAAAAAATTCAAACGATGTGAAATAGCACGATTTCGGTTGCCAATTAACAACACCAATGCAAGATATTACGCGGTCGAAAATTTTTTTGGCATAATAAAATCCGATTTTCCCGATTGTTGAAACCACATATTGCCCAAAGTGTTGATATTCAATTGCAGGCCCAAATGAATTGGTTATCATACGACCATAACGCTCCGAACTGAGAGTGTGAGTCTTGCTTTTGTCCTTTTCAAATAAATGAAGACCAAACACAACTCCGGACCAAAGAGTGCACCTGACGGTAATTTACTCCAATTACTTGAGGATATACGGAATGCCAATTGTGACCAATTCACTTATTTACATACCCCTGAATGAGAAATGTGCAATGTCTCTGAGGGAATATTCTTCTCTTAAACCACAAAACCACCGGCCCACGTTTGAAATACCATTCTTGCATTACGCTGTAGCTAAATCCACGCGTTGTGCGGTTGGTAGGCGCTCCAATTTCAAAGCGCAGTGGTAGAACACTCGCCTGTGTCAGAGTCCGTTGGTTCGATACCTGCCATAAGAAGTCTGATGAGGAGATGTGGTGATCTCACTTCGGCCATTTTTCTTATAACAAAATATTCAATTCGTACAAACAACAAGGCCTCGTACTTTACTTAATAAAAATCGAAACGTGTTTGATTTGACATTTGCATTGCCAAAATAAGTACGCCCAGGAACTGCTTGCTGTAAAAAAATCGACAATTAAACTTTTCAGCAGTTAAAAAAAAAAAAAAGACTACAATAATTTTCCGTTTTCCACGTAACTTTTTTTCGCTCAACAATTAATGAACAACTCTCACTGCAAATCGCCGTATTGACGTCCCATAAATTTCCCTTAGTGGAAATCCTGCCGAGTGGTGTGATTGATTGCTGTTGTATCAATATGTCAAAAATGTTTATGTAGTGCGGGTGTTTCTGTTTTCTTTTTTTTTTTTTAGTTTGCCATACATAACCATTAATTTCAGACCAACGTCAAGCATACATTCCAAGTGCAGTAGAACGTAGGTGAGGTCAGCATGCATACAACTACATTTACATTTACATGCATATATATGTTACGTATGAAGAATGATGTGCGCAGATTTTCCTTCAGCTGGCTGCAGTCTGCATACACTTGGAGTTTGGCAGTTAGAACGAATATTAATCGTGATGGAAAATCATTTATCAATGGCATGCCATTAACGAAGTGGCACACATTTTATGTTCTACGAGGAAAGTAAGCTGACACACGTTTGAATTATTGATTTGGAAGGATTTTCTTGTAAAGTGTAGTTTTGCTCAACACCAACTCTTGGTTTCACGGCGCCCACTTCGGAAACGCAAGATGCGTTAACCAAACCGAGTGGAGCCTTGGTCAGTTTCAAAGAAGTTACTTCGACATATTGGGTTTAAGGGTTCGCCGAAGTCTAAAAGCAGCTCCTGTTCATTAGAGGGGCGATTGTGCGCGAGCCTTGGTCTTGGAACAAGCAGCTCGCTATGTAGATGTGTAAAAATTTAAAATTTACACGCCCAGCGGAGTTTTACGCTGAATTTGGGACCTGCCATGTAGAAACCAGCTCCACCAATCGCCTTGTTTGAGGCAACCACCTTTTGTCGACGACTCCCGCAAATGTTTTAAGTCATCACAAGTTGAGAGCTTGCATTTGGAAGCCAGATTCCTTTATTGGGAAGGTGCCGCTGCCATGCTGGTTAATGTCCTCATAAGAATAAAGGTTAACATTACCGCCGCCAAAGAATTACGATGGACGACACATGGACGGAAACGAGTAGATTCTTGTTATATATACTAGAGCAACCACAAGAAGGAGCACAAATTAAGTGATAAAATCGTGGTGGGGGGCAATACTATCGCCGAGTGCTGACATTCACTTCGGTGCATGAACGTCTCGCCACAATCCGCATCATAGCGACTACGCCCATGCAAATGAGATGGAAAATGTGTCTTTTATAAGCGTCCGCAACATCTTTATTAGCGCTGCTACAATATCATGAAACATCCTCTCATGGGATGAGGCTTATCGACTTCGACGGGGCCCGAAGTTAGGTTGTGTATAGTATTAGATTCCAAGAGCACAAAAAAGGTCACCAAGCTACTTAGCGATCTCCAGATCGAAAAACCCACAGCCATAATCGCGCATGCTGAGGTAGACGGACGACAGGTTCAGAGTTTTCTTGGCGTGCGTACACTTTGTAGACCTAATATCGACTCGGATCTTGTTGCAGCGAAGATACGCATATCAAAAAGCACCCGTTAACAAATCCAAGCAAGCTTCGACGTCAAAAAAAAACTGCAATCAAAATAGACTGCCGAGCGATTTCCTCCAGCTCTCTGACAGCACTCACAAACAACTCGGTATAAATGAACTATGAGACGGCATCAAACTCCATACGTACCAGCTGACAACAAGGCTGTTGATTTCCAAAAAGAACGCAAATACAGCTGGTATGACGAGGATTGCCGTGACGCAGTGCAGAAAAAGCTCGCAGCCTACCTCGCAGCCTCACGATCGACCAATAGTCCAGAGATATTGAAATAATTTAGCCAATTTAGAGATAGCAGGCACGCTGGCTGATTTATGTAGTCCGGATGAATAAGAATTCCACAGCTTTGAGAGTTTTCGATGTAGTAGCCGCCGGAGAAACAAATAAGGAGGAAGACCTCCGTTCCACTGGAAAGACCAGGACTTCCTTACACTTGGTATTTCCACGTGGAGAAAACAATCAGAAAAAATGAGTGATGAGCTCTTCTTAACTTGGCCATGGTCGCGTAAGCAGGTTCCACGTCAGTATAGAAAAAGAAGAAAGCATAAAAAAATTATAATTTTTCTCTTTTTGTTTTTTCAGCGATTGATTAAATATTTTGTTTTAAAAACTATCTGACGACAACAACGACTATCAACAGGGCATGTCAGCCACTCCGAGTGTAT